TGGCCAGGCTGGTCTCGAACTCCTGACTTCAGGTGATCTGCCTGCCTTGGCCTCCCAAAGTGCTGGAATTACAGGTGTTTGAACCACTGCACCTGGCCCCAAGAATCCTTTCTTTTACCCACTTGCCAAACCACTCTAGCAGTCTGCCTATACTGCCTTTTTATTTTATTTTTTTGAGATGGAGTCTCACTCTGTCGCCCAGGTTGGAGTGTAGTGGCGCAATCTCAGCTCACTGCAAGCTCCGCCTCCTGGGTTCACACCATTCTCCTGCCTCAGCCTCCCAAGTAGCTGGGACTACAGGCACCCACCATCATGCCTGGCTAATTTTTTGTATTTGTAGTAGAGATGAGGGTTTCACCTTGTTAGCCAGGATAGTCTTGATCTCCTGACCTCGTGATCTGCCTGCCTCAGCCGCCCAAAGTGCTGGGGTTACAGGCGTGAGCCACTGTACTCGCGCTGCTAAGCTAGTAATCATCACACACAATATGCTCTCTCACTCCCACATAAGTTTTTCATTCTAAATAATTTAAGATTTTAAAAATAATTTTAACTAGGACAGAGTGTGTGGCTAATGTAATCCCAAGATTTAGAGGAGGCTGAGCAGGGGATACCTTGAACAGGAGTTAAAGACCAAGCGAAACCCCGAGGGGGCGCGCACCGGCGACAAATGGGCGTGAATGAGCGCACATCAATGTATACCAGCTACGCTTGGGAGGCTGAGGACGGAGAAATCCGTGAACGCTGGGAGGATGGACGGTGCAGTGAGCGAGACTCGTGCACTGCACCTCCAGCCTGGGTGGAACAGCAAGACCTCTAACTATAACACACACACACACACAAAAAAAAAGGAAAACGCAAAAACTCCAATTATAATTTACACTAGTTCAGATTTACCTAGAAAGTAAAAATTCGTAAGCAATGCTGACGATTCATCAGTAGTTTCTATTTTCAGTTATATCTAGTTGCCTCCAAAGAACTAAATTTTCTCAATGTTGTAAATTTTTAATGATCTTAGGAAATCACAGATGTTAATTCATTACATTGTTCATACCATTATCCAGTGATATGATACAAAATGTAACTGATAATAGCCCTTTCTAGATTAGATACTTTGGACTTTATTTAACAGATGCATGCATCACAGAAGGAGACATTTCTGATCAATGCACCAGACTCGCATGTATAGAATGAGGGTCTATAAGATTATAACTTCATTAATTTCTTGTTACGTTTACCTTTTCTACATTTAGATAACACCAAAACTTACCATAGTGTTACAATGCCCTAGCAGTATGCCAGCTACATAAACATGATTACCACAGGTTTAGTAGCCTAGAAACCATAGGCTAGTCATACCATCATTAGTGCAAAGACCAACCATATGATTTTACTACAAGTGAACAAATCAGTCTCACTAATGCATCTCTTCAGAAATGCTATATACCGTCAATTAAGACAATGCAATGCCAATCGTAACCTTAAAAGAATTACTATCCTACCAAAATTGTTCAGATAGTCTCAACTTAAGACCATCACCCTTGTTTAGCCAATCTATCTATTCCAATATATACGAGATCCTATTATAAAAGAAAAAAAAATCAAACGAATCTCGTCTTGAATAATTCTTTTTAGCATCACAGGCACAATAAATCCTCCGGTCCATCCGCAATGGCAGTCTGTCCTAACGAGTATAATCAAAAACGACCCTTTCATCAATATTAGGAAAATTTTGTTCCTTGATCATTCAGAAGCTTGTAGCTTTCTTAGAAATTAAGTACCTTGCATTAATAGTACTACTTTTCTTCTTCTTTTTATATAAGTAACAAATACAAGTGAAGTGAAATGATTTGAACCCTGGTGCATCAGTATCTGGAGCACTTCAGGAGCAAACTACTTGCGCTAACAGGCACTCACTTGAGGT